TGATATCATTAAAGTTAATATTATTTATATAATTTGGTATCCGCACGAATTACATGGAATTTAACTTGGCGCCAGTTTTGTTGATATCAAATCTTTTATAGGAATGATACATATCATTATAAGAATATCCTTGAAGAAAAAACATCAACTCGATTAACCCTAATCGGTGATTCACTGTCAACCGTAAGTGCTCAATTCTACTAAACAGCAAACGCGATTAGTCATCAGTTCCACGGCTGATTAAATAATTGGCGTTGGTGAAACCGACCCAAATGGTGGTTCTACACGAGAAACATGCACGCTTAGCGCTTTTTTTACCTTTTTTTAAAAGGGTAAGTTTGTACACGATCATATATGCAAAGGATATCATCAACTCGATTAACTCTAATTCGAATTATAAGAATATCCTTGAAGAAAAAGTTAAATGTAATTTGTATTGGTAATTACCAATGTCACGAAAACAACATGTACTTAATGTCAAAAAATCATTTTTAGAAATCATTCATATAATATCAAAAAATCAAGTTATGAAGTGTTAAAAATACGTTTTTTTAATGTAAAACAAACATTTCTTTAATGTAAAATAAACGGATTTTAAATGTTCAAAAAATGTTTTTAAAATGTTTTTTAAATGTAAAAAGAACATTTCTTTAATGAATGAAAAAGGATCTATCCCATTAAATAAACATTTTTTTAATGTTTTTAAAACGTTTTTTGCAATGAAAAAAAATCGTTTAAAAAACATTTTTGAAACATTTTTTTGCTGATTGGGAAGTCGCCTCCGCCGATAGAAGTACCCAAATGGTTGAACAAAAACGTAAGTATTGTAGAGGACAGAAATTCATGCGTGAAAATTTTGCGATATCTATCTTTACCACAATATTGAATATTCCCTTGTAGAAAAATACTTCTGAGCATTACTCTAGTGCAATAGTATTTAGAGGTACTCATAGACATAGTATCTCTAGACCGACCATTGTTAGAAATTTGAGGAGTCGGAGTAGACCTCATTCAGAAAAAGACGCACTCACTTGATGTCGAGTATCTATAATAAAAGTACGGACAACAGAGCATGAATGAGGCAAAACCGGAAACGCATCGAAACGCGAATGCATTTTTAAATGTGACGTGTAAAACTGAAATTGTATGTACAGTGCGTTGCACGAATGCCTGGGGTTTGATTTTAGAAGTCTAGTTTCGTTCTTAGTTATTTTTACGTTCACGACTGATACGACCGGATGTTGCATCAGATCATGAATATATCGTAGTGTTAGTAAAGTGTGTTTTAACAGCCGACCGACGTAACCTCAGTACTGATCAATGAAATTTCTGAAATATTCCAAAACTTAATGAAAGGAGTCGGAGATCGAAACCTTTAATATGTCAGATAAGTTGTAGTTTTGAAGAAGTATAATTGCTTTTACACTTGCCAGTAAGAAAATATACTTTGTGATCCGTTTTTCTTACACAGGGTAATAAAATACAAGCGAGAGAGAAGAGAAAGGATAATTAACAACGCAGCGTTTGTAACGAGAAGTGGTTTATTGGAGACATAGATAGAAAAATAATCCCAGATGT